GGCCCTCCTGCCCTTCCCGGCCGCCTGACCGTTAAGGTCACCGGGCGGCAGGCGCTGCTGCTCCGGCTTCATCCTCCAAATTACCTGGGTTCGGGGAATCCTTTGGAGACCAGACAGGCGGGGGGCCCGCTACACGGAGGTCCTGCTCTCAGGGGTGGGGGGCTGACAGCACAGGAGGAGCGCGCCTGTGGTCCAGGCGCGAGGGAGAAGCCCACTCGGGGCCTCGGGCCTTCGGCCCCCCTCGCACGGGGGCGTCATCTCCTCTGGTGCCTGTGAGGGTCTGTGCTGAGCGGGTCACCCCCCTGATGGCATATGTTGTGATGGGTTACGGAAGGAGCAGGGAGGCCAGCAGGAGGCATTTGGGCAATTTCCCCGGGAAGCCGCCACCTCACGCCCCAGCCAGGGAAGAGGGGCGCATGCCCAGTCAAGGTGGGGCGTCGAGAGGGGACTAACCCGGGGCCTGGGCATGGTTGGCCCAAATGGGCGTGGCCACTGCGAACTCAGCGGCCTACACAGAAGCGGCTCTCATTGCTCTTCCGCGTGGCTCTCGGCTCTTGCTGCTCCAGGCGTGTCCTCTTGCATTCGGACCCCGCGCACATGGCCTGAAGGACTGCCCGGCCTGATGCTGAACTGGACTTTGTGAATATAGACCGGAAACTGAACCCTGGCTCTGACTTCAGCTCCACTGCCGCCCCGCTGCTCTTGGATGACTGGACGGAGGGAAGCCCAGGGGTGTGATTCCACAGAAATGAAGCTTCTCCACATCACACCCTCCGTGGAGGCCCCTGGGAATGCCTCTTCGGTGGGACCCTAAGGCCCCACTTCCACCAGCACCGGGGAGACAAGCCCCTCCTACCGGAATGACGGGACCTGTGCAGAACCTGGCCTTTCCCACCAAACGAAGCAGCGATTCCTAGAGACGGCTGGCTAATTTGAGGGAAATCCTTTGCAGGTTTTGAACTTCTAGTCCCTCCCCTGCTTTTCCTGGGCAGCATTGCTAGACATTAATTGGCTTCATAAGTATTTGAGCAACATATGCCTGGATCTCCGGATTCAGACAGGAAGAAGCCAGCGCCTGCTCTCAGGCCCACGTGTGGGAGAGCTCAGCCAGCGGGCGGGAGGGCCAACGGTAGAAGCAGCTGCCATGAGGCCTCCTGGGTTTCCTTGCCGTTCATGTTCTACCAGTGTTTGCGGCCCCTCAGGTCCTCATTACCTACACAGGGAAAGTCACGCTCAGCACAATCTAAACTCCTCCACAGTTTGGAGGCTGCTCACCTCTCCAGCATCTCTTACCTGCCTGAAACCTGCCCAATGGGCCAATGCGGAGGGCTTGCAGGGCTCCAGGCGGTAGGTGCTTTGCCTAAATGCCTCTCTGTCAACTATGCTTCTTGACCAGCCATTTTCAGCCTGTGTGTTGCAGCATTTTGTTTTTAATCCTCACCTGGGGATATCTTTCCATTGATATTTAGAGAGAGGAAAAGACAGAAATATCAATGTGAGAGAAACATAGATAGGTTGCCTTCTGTATGCGCCTTAACCAGGGCCCGGGCTGGGGAGGAGCCTGCAACCAAAGTATGTGCTCTTGACTGCAGTCGAACCCAGGACCCTTCACTCTGCAGGCTGACGCTCTATGGGCTGAGTCAAACCAATACCTGACAGTTGAGTCAGGGACACTGACCTCTTTTCCCTGAGATTGTCAAAAAAGTGTCAACATCCAACACAACAATAGCCCTCTGTGTGAATGCCTTGTCTAAATATCCTATCTAATAAAGAGGGATATGCTAATTGCTGCCCCGCCCTCAAAGGTGGCGGCACCCACAGCCACAAGATGGCACGCCTGCCTCCGGGGTCCCCCAGTCCCCTCAGCCCCCCAGCCGCCCAGGGCTACCCAAGGCTCAGGTAACCAGGGCCTACTGAGGTTTGTGCTGCCAGCAGTGGTAGCGGCAGAGGTGTGATGGGGCGTCGCCTTCCCCTGATCACTGGGTCACCTCCCGCCCCTGAGGGCTCCCAGACTGTGAGAGGGGGCAGGCCAGGCTGAAGGATCCCCCTCCAGTACATGAATTTTCATGCACCGGGCCTCTAGTATGTCATATAATAGGAT